GAGGATGCTGAGGAGGGAGAGGAGGGGTCAGACCATGCCAGCAACTTTGATGACGAAGCAATCGTGGTGACACGCCAAGAAGAAGCTGTCGATCCGGAAGACGAGGCTGACTTCGAGCGTGAATACGCTAGAATGATGGCTGAGAGCCTCGAGTCACGAAAATTTGAACGCAAGCAGCTCTTTGACGTGCCCCTTCCAGTGCGGCCAAAGACGAGAGAGCCATCGGCGGTCAGCTCTGGCGGAGCTCCAGCCGAGTCTGAGACTCCCGCCCCAGCAATCAGTACTATGGCTTTCTCGCTGCTAACGAAGAAGGGAAATCGTCAGCAGGTAAATGACACCCTACTTATTGATATCTATCTATTTTGAAGGCTGTATAGAGCTAACATTCCGTCCAGACCAAGCAAATCGAGCTACCCTCGGATTCCACATTCGCTATTGCAATGAAGAACCAGCAGCAGGCCGAGAAGGAAGAGCAACAGCGGATCAAGAATTTGGTTTTGAATTACGATCTTCAGCAGAATGAAGACCAGCAAGAAGGTATACAGAAGCCCCCATCTACTGCTTTCTTCACTGTACTCAACATGATAATAACACACCGATGTGTAGTCCATGAACGACAGACTTTTCACCATAACCGCGTTGAAAAACCGGGTAAGGATCGGGGGCAACGGGTTCGCAAGCTGCAGCTGAGCGATGTTGACTGGTAAACCGGCGAACATAACCTGCATGGCCAACACGGACCAAGTAGGAGGCACTATATCATACGAATTTCACACGAGAACAGGAATTTCGTGCGTATCTGAAGCTACTACGCCCTGACTCTGAAAAGCGAGAAACCTGCGACCTAAGGCGCGGAAAGGCCCGCTCATACGTAAGTCAGTCAATGAGTTATCACAATATGGATGTTTGCGCGTCCTGTCCGTTAGAGTTTGCAGGTGATCTCCATTTACCTACTCTTGGACGAGGGAAGAGGAAAGATAGTGGACCCCAAAATCCCCATAACGTGGCTGTGCGATCACACACCAATATCTCTTCGGCTCCGAATTCGGCTGAGTGGAAGAAGCAATGGGTCTAGAACATATATGCCCATTGTCTTCTCGAACTGGAACTATGGAGATGGGTTGGGTGCGGAAAAAGACTTGAAGCGAAGAATCATGAGCAATAGCTTGAGGTGCGCCGCTGAGTCCTTACTGTTATTGGGCTCGAAGGAGAGATAGGTATTTTATAGTTACCACCACGCATGGCAACGAGCCTAGCAATTCGTGCATGCGATGCCACTCTCTAAACAGACTGGTTGCTTAAGATAGATTGTGTCTTGTTGGCGAATTAGTGTTGAATTCACCTCAAGAGTTTACCTTGAATCAGAAACCCGAAGAGACTGGTGCAGGCAACGTAGGTACCTACATGTAGAGGTAGTAACCAATTTCGCTCCGATACTGCAGTGGAAGAGCTGCAATGGAAGAGCTGCAGTGGTACCTGGAGAGGTAACTCGAGGCAGGTACCCGGCGAGGTGAACTGCAGTACCTGCCCTAAAGTACCAGATGGCAGGAGTAGCACAGGTTTGCCACGGAGCCAACGCATTCGCTCCCCAGAAGGTGCGACCAAGATACTTTACCTGTAACCACCTAGGAGTTTTGATCAGGCACCTGCTAGCTAGTACATTACCTACTACCACCTCAGTACTACAAGTACTCACCTTGAAAGTACCACGCACCAGCATGGCTCTTCTTCTCTTCTGTGCCTTCTTTTCTCTCCCAGAATGGTCCAAGACCTCAAAGTCTTCTCTCTCAAACCTTTGCTCACTCGAACCCACCTCACCTGGCTTTCACTTCGGGGGTGACCCGTAACTTTCTTTCAGCCTTCTCGAGGGCCACACCTGTGTAACAAATTGAGATGTTCTGAAGACTCTAGCAATTCAGACATATCCTTGCTTCATTTGGATGCGCTATTCTTGTATCAACCGCTCGACTCGCACTTCACTGGGAGCTGCCAAGGATAAACCGGGAGCAAAGCAAACGAAGATCGGCATTTAATGATGGGAGAGATGGCACCACAGGGGGGGTGGCCACTCAAAGACGTAAGTTGTTTTTTGGCATCCCTACTCTATCCTCATTTTCCTGTTCGCTCTTCTATTACTTTATACCTTTGCCTAGGTAGTCGCAAACTAGGGGCTGACCGAGTCTCTCAATAGGCAATTTTCACATCAATTATTGGAGTCGTCATGGTGATGGCCTGCCTAGAGTGGTTTTTATGGTTGGCGGCATTTCTATATTGTCTGATCAAAGTGTTTCAGAAATCAGAACACTGGTCCATCAATGTCCTCTGTATTCTTCTGGGCACACTATTTACTCTCCTTCGGTTAGTGAACGCTTCTGCCTCCTACCTGATATAATTATCCAGATACCCAAGCCAGGTTCATTCTGAGACTAATGGGTAGCTTCTTTAGAATCGTTTTCCTACCTATTATGGTGGTCACACTGCCGCTCCCCAACCAGGTTTCACAATTTTGGCCTAAAGAGATGGTCGAGTTTCTCCAATGGTTCGCCTTTTGGAGTTTCGCCATTCTTCTTACTGTCCCTTGGCTGTTTTGTGTTTACCAGTTAGTCACAAACCAATTGGGGCGGACAAAGCGTATTAAACAGGTCCTGGATGATGTGACAGCCCCCAAGGTTGTCATTGTTATGCCCTGCTATCGGGAGGAGCCCGAGGTTCTTATTAAAGCTGTCAACTCTGTTGTGGATTGTGACTATCCTGCTGCCTGTATTCATGTCTTTCTGTCATTCGATGGGGAACAAGAGGACGAGCTGTATCTCAACACCATCGAAAAGCTCGGCATCCCTTTAACTATGGAGGCCTACCCCAGGAGCATCGACGTTACATACAAGGAAGCTCGTGTCACCGTTTCCAGATTTCAACATGGAGGAAAGCGCCATTGCCAAAAGTCTACTTTTCGGCTCATCGACAAGGTATACGAAGAGTACCTCAGACGGAATGACAATTTATTTATCCTATTCATCGACTCGGATTGCATTCTGGACAAAGTCTGCCTACAGAATTTTGTCTATGACATGGAGCTCAGTCCCGGCAATACTAGAGACATGCTGGCCATGACTGGCGTCATTACATCAACAACAAGAAAGCATAGTGTAATCACACTACTTCAAGATATGGAGTACATTCATGGCCAGCTTTTTGAGCGAACTGTCGAGTCCGGTTGTGGTGCTGTAACTTGTCTGCCAGGTGCGTTGACAATGCTCCGATTTTCTGCTTTCCGCAGGATGGCAAAATACTATTTCGCAGACAAATCTGAAGCATGCGAAGATCTATTTGACTTTGCTAAATGTCACCTTGGAGAGGACCGCTGGCTCACGCACCTCTTCATGATTGGTGCCAAGAAACGCTATCAAACCCAGATGTGCACTTCAGCATTCTGCAAAACTGAAGCTGTCCAGACGTGTCGATCCCTGATTAAGCAGCGGCGTCGATGGTTCCTGGGGTTCATCACCAATGAGGTTTGCATGCTTACTGACTGGAGACTATGGAAACGATATCCTATCCTAATTGCCGTTCGCCTCATGCAGAATACAATCCGTACCACGGCGCTCCTGTTCTTTATCATGGTGCTTGCCCTGATGACAACAACGAAGAAGATTGATGATTTACCAGTCGGATTCATCGCTATTTCGCTTGGGCTAAATTGGCTTCTCATGATATACTTTGGGGCCAAACTGAGAAGATTTAAAATATTCTTGTACCCTCTGATGTTCATCCTGAACCCTTTCTTCAGTTGGTACTACATAGTGTACGGGATTTTCACCGCTGGGCGAAGAACTTGGGGCGGCCCACGAGCCGATGCAGCCGCTGCCGATTCAAACACCACCGCTAGAGAGGCAATCGAGCAAGCAGAACAACAAGGAGACGACTTGAATATAGTTCCGGAGACTTTCAAGAACGCTCGTATTACGAGGTCGGACGACGAGAAGACTAAGCATCTTGTCCGGAAAGGGAGCGTGGTAAGACCACCAAAGGACGTGGAAGGAAAGTTCGTCGCTCGTAGAAGGACACCAGCGGGTTTGTACACGGACATAGACCTAGATGAGGAAGAGGCGCTCGGAACTGTTGCGACCTACGCACAGGCGACAATAGATGACGCAAGCCCACGTCTTCATAGAGAAGATCACCTTGTGTACATGCCAAGAGGGATAGAAGCTTTGATGAGAGACGAAGACCGTCGGAAGTACGTGATTGCCCAAAAGGCGAGACAGGCGAGACAGGAACAGGAAGAACTGAGGAACCGTCATCCTGAGATATGGAGTTCAAGGCTTGAGATGGCCCAATTCAACACTCGGCCGCATCCATCGGGATCTTCCTCCAACAGCAGAAACCACCGATATGCAAGAATAATTGGGGGAAATAGTACTGATGCATCACCCCCGGCAACTTCAGGAGAGGAAAAAACCTAGGAGTTGATGGAATGAGGCTAATCTCATCAGTTGTTCTCGGATGGGGAGAGGTGGCCAGAAGAATGATAGAATTTTAGAGCTATGGTGGCATTTTATATATCTTAAGACAAAGCCATATCAATAGACAATTTTTGATCGAGAATGACATCGTATATGCGAATTCTATGTCGTAATGCAGGCGTGTGGGAGAGCGAACTCCGAAGCTGATGTGATGGGCGAATGGTGGTACCCGGTGTCACGTGCTTTCGTGCGCATCTCCCGCCAATTAGTGGAATAGAACGAACGCGATCGTGCACTTGCTGTGTTCCGGATTTGCTTCATCTGAACTGCCTTTACTCAAAAGCCTATATTGAGAAGAACGCGTATCTGGCTTGGCTTAGCTTTTTTTTGTTTTGTTTTTTTGGTACCTTTTTTTCTTTCTTCTTCTTCTTGGAATCTTTTGCTTTGATGCGAACGCCTGCCTACCCATTCGCTGTCACCCTGCCTCTCTGATACACCACGCTGGTACACACCTGCGGGCTGTGGTGATGCTACCTAATGGACGTTGATGAGTGTGCAAACCCCCAGCTTTTGGCCTGGGTCAAAGAATGGCTCGATGTAGCCCGAGAACGCAACTCGAAAGGTTTTACAACATATAAGCACGCCTATGATTCTCTCAAGGCTTGTCCGATCACCTTCCAGCATCCTGCTGAACTACAGCAGCTCAAAGGATTCGGCCCAAAACTTTGTGAGAGGCTGACAGACCTCCTGAAAAAGCATTGCCAGGAAACTGGTGTGCCTATGCCTGAGCATCCACAAGCCAGAAAAGCGGCTCAGAACAAGGCTAGAAGCACCTCTGAATCAGCAGGTCAAGAGGCATCGAAGCAAGCCAAGACTCGTAAAAAGAAGTCATATGTTCCTACATTTAGATCGGGGGCGTATGCAATTGTAGTCGGCCTTTCAAGCCAATCGGCCGATGCGTCACTTGGGCTCACAAAGGTTGAACTCATTGAACTCGCACAGCCTCATTGCGACGCCTCGTTCACGGCACCCTCCGACCCCACAAAGTTCTACACTGCCTGGAACTCAGTCAAAACATTGCTTCAGAAAGAACTTGTTTACGAAAGAGGCAGGCCTCTGCGAAGATATGCACTAACGGACGAGGGCTGGGAGGTTGCCCAACGCATCAAGGAGACTCCACACTGGCAAGCGGAGAATCCACAGCAGCCTGGGCTTGAGGTAGGGCCTGTAGTCGCTCCAGCTGCTGGACATGACCAAACGACGACTTCAGAGTACCAGAGCGTTATCGCAGATGGCCCGGCTTTTTTGGAGAATGGTGCATTTCCTTCTTTTACACCTATCACCCTTGAGCCAGGAACCTTTTCTGTGCAGTTATTGCTCGATGTTCGTGAGGTCAGGGCCAAGACTGATCGCGATTATATGAAAGAGGAACTCGCAAAACAGGGTGTGACACCCATTATGAGGAGTCTAGAACTTGGTGATGCACAATGGATAGCGAAATGCAACGATGCTTCGATGCTGGCACGTCATGGCGCAGAAGGGGACGAGGTTGTGCTTGATTGGATCGTGGAGAGAAAGAGACTGGACGACTTGATCGGCAGTATCAAAGATGGCCGATTTCACGAACAGAAGTTCCGTCTCAAGCGCTCAGGGGTCAAAAAGGTCATCTACATCATTGAAGATATATCGATGGACTCGGGAACGTTGACCAAATACGAAGAGGCGGTCCAGTCTGCAATAGCATCCACACAGGTCGTCAATGAGTATTTCGTGAAAAGGACGACTAAAATGGACGAAACAATCCGATACCTAGCCCGAATGACGGCAATGCTGAAACGAACGTATGAGCGAAGACCTCTGAGGGTGATTCCCACCAGAGCACTAACTGCCAACAACTATATGCCTTTAATGGAACATTTACGGGAAAAGGAGCGATCACAAGGCTACTACGTCACATACCCGGCGTTTGCCTCAATGGCTTCCAAGTCTGAAATGTTGACTTTACGAGACATATTTCTGAAAATGCTGATGACCACCAAAGGGGTGACGGGGGAGCGAGCCTTGGAGATTCAAAAGAGATGGAAGACGCCTTATAATTTCGTCAAGGCCTTTGAGGCCTGTGGCCCTGGAGAGCAAGGCAAAAAGCGGAAACGAGAGCTCGTGTCGAACGAGATGAGCAATCTCGTTGGCAGAAAGAAAATCACCAAGCCGTTGAGCCTGCGAATTGCTGAGGTGTGGGGAGATATCTGACAGGAAGAGGCAACCCCCGATGTTAAATGATAATATTAACTAACCAACAAACACTTTGGTTAGTTATAGTTTGATATCACGACATATAGTTATGGCCTCAGAGCGTACTTTTGATTTCTATATGTAGCATAGCGTGTGTATGACACTAGGACTTGGCCCCAAAACCCTGTGCAGCGATGCGCTCGACCATTTTCTCGAGCAGGGGGATGGAAGCAGTGCCGTTGTCAGCCCCCAGCAACCCAGCGAGAGATTTCTCTGCGTACTTGGCCATCATATCAACCTCAATGTTGACAGTCTCGCCGGCCTTCTTTTGTGCAATAATGACTTTCTCCTGGGTGTAAGAAATGAGCATCACCTCCCACCATCCCTCGACATCGTTGACTTGGGTCACGGTCAAGCTGGTTCCATCAATAGCGATGAACCCCTTGTAGATGACGTAGCGGAGCAGGCTCCTCTCCTTGGGCTGGAACCTGACTGTCAATGCGTTGCCGTCTGGGGTCAGAGACAAGATCTCAGCAGTGGTGTCAACGTGGCCCTGGACAAAGTGGCCGCCCATGCGGGTGTCAGCGCGAACCGCCCTCTCGAGGTTGACGCGGCTTGACTCGGCCAAGGCTCCTAAATTGGTGATGCGCAAAGTCTCTGGGGCGACGCCAATGGTGAACTGGGTGGCTGTGAAGGATGTGACGGTGAGGCAGACTCCGTTGACGGCGATTGAGTCACCGTCGTGACAGTCAGTCAGGAGCTGTGAGTTCTGGGGGAGGGTGATTGTCAGAGAGGTTCCGCCAGTGTGGTCATTGTTGTTGACCTGGGAAACGGCTGAGCAGCCGGTCAGCATAGAACGTGAAGACCAGGTGTTGGCTGGACCTACTCCCGATTTCCTCAACGATGCCAGTGAACATGGTGGAGGTTTAGCTAAGGCTGGAGATTAGTATTTAGTGGCCAGGGCCCAAATGGTCAGTTATCTCAAGCAGTTGAGGTAACAATAGTACTGGTCCAGGGCGATTGATTTGTGACCAGAGAGAGGTTAGCTTAAATAGTTTGACTCTGCTTCGGAAGTAGAAGCTTCGAACTGGTGCTTTGTAAGTGCTTCTGAGGTGGGTTGCACAATGAGACCAATCAGCCCCGCACTGACGATAACGATAACCTCCTGCATATTCCGAAAGGGACATTTAAATACCTGTTTCTGAGTGCTCGCATCAGTAGGTAAGAAGTGGCTTGCAACAATAAGAACTATAAAATAGAGCACATCTAGCACGAGGAAACCAAGTTCCATATAAAAGAGCCCAGTTTTGATGCACAGCAGTGCAAGTTGAGTGCCCGGTTGATTGTGAGGCATCTCCATCACTCTAGCGGCAATCGTACATAAGTACGGTATTATGATCTCACATAAGATACTCATAGTTAACCAATTACTAAAAACCAAGTTCTTCTTCTATGTATATTAGACTAGATTTAATCTGGGTAGAAAAAAGATAGAAAACGAAAAAGTGCAGTCTAGCTTGCAACACCTTTGGTGACGTCTGAAGCAGCTCCGATTCCATCACGACCCCGCCAAAAAAGAAATGCTTATCGATAAGAGATAGCCTAATTTTTTTCAAATCAGGTCGCTGGACCTGCGCAAGGCATCTCTCTGAGATTAGCAAAAAAACCATACATTTCCTGTTCTCTTGGGGGAGCTGTTGAGCCAGCCTCAGAAGTGTTATAGCATACACATAAGTCCACACCGAGGAGACAGCGGCCATCGAATCTCAACAGCAATAACACCCCTCCCCCTTCACCCCTCCTCGGCCAATCTCACAATGGCGCCCAGCCGTCCTACCAACAAGGACAAGACCAAGAGCCCGGCTACTTTGTTGGCCGACTCCGAGACTCAGTATGAGGTTGGAAACCTTGATGAGGCAATCATCCTCGCCACCCAGGCCCTGGAGGCCACTGGTGAAGGAGGGGACTTTGAGCTGAGGACGCTCAATCTGCTCGGTGTGCTGCACATCGAAATCGGCGATACTGATGAGGCTCGCGCTTTCTTTGAAAAGGCCGTACGGCTGGATGAGGAGGGAACGCTTGAAGAGAAGATTGGTGGAGGTCCCGAGAAGTTCATGTTCCTAGCTCAGCTCAGCGAGGAGGGTGGTCAGGACAGCGTCAAGTGGTTCGAGCGCGGTGCATCTGCGCTGCGCCAGCAAATTCAGAATCTCACAGCCATCAACAACAAATCACCAGAGCAACAGGCGGACCTAGATGAGAAGCAGGAAAAGTTGGGTGGCGTCCTATGCGCTGTAGCAGAGGTCTACATGACCGACCTATCATGGGAGGACGATGCCGAGCAGAGATGCGAGTCTCTCATCACCGAGGCCATGCTGATTGCACCCACATCAGCAGAGACTTGGCAGACCGTCGCCAATGTTCGCATATCACAGGAGCGTGTGGATGAGGCAAAGGAGGCCTTGAGGAGGAGTCTGGAGTTGTGGCAAGATCTACCCCCAGAGCACCCTTCTATTCCCGAGTTTCCCACCCGGATCAGTCTGTCCCGACTACTTCTTGAGGTTGGAATGGAGGATGAAGCTTTGAGTGTACTGCAACGTCTGACGACTGACGATGATCAGAGTGTCGAGGCATGGTACCTTGGAGGCTGGTGTCTCTTCATCATGGGAGAAAAGGCACGCGACGGCCAGGGCCAGTCCAATGGCGACGCTGATGGATGGAAAGATGTTTGGATTTTGTCTCGCAAGTGGCTTGCTCGGTGTCTCAAGTTATATGATGTCCTTGAATATGAGGACGAGAGATTGGGCCAGCATACAGTGGAGCTCCGCCAAAAGATCAATGATGTGCTTGGCGAGCCAGCCGAGGGTGAAGAGGAGGATTGGGATGATGGCGATGACGACGACGACGAAGATGATGAAGATGCGGAGATGGTGGGTTAAGACGGGTGTGATGAAGGCTACCCAGCATTAGATGGCGTTTAGGCGGTACATAAAACGTTGAAGGTTATCTCAGACATATTTGGATTTTCTATTTTCTTTTCTTTCTTATTTAAGACGTCTTTCTGACGCGGCATGTTAATCAGAACGTTAGTTTTGCTTCTTCCTCTCTGACCCCGGAGTCTCACATAAAATGCGGTTCTATGCCAGCAAAGAATATTCTCCATGCCTCATCGTGAAGGGTATTTTATATTCGTAAGATTTTATCCAACCCAACTCCAAACAATGCAGCACCTTCCTTATACCAGCCGCTATGCCTCAACCTTGAGCCTTTCCACCTTTTCCGGTAGGTCGCCGTCTTCCTCTTCTTCCTCCTCATCATCGCCCTTGCCGGCAAGGCCTCGCTCCCACAATTGCTTCCCGGTCAATTTGACAGGCTCCTTGACTTTGGCCTTCTTCAGCTCGGCCAGTCGCTCCTCCTCCTCTTTGAGTCTGACCTCTTCCATTTCCTTCAAAAAGTCTTCTCTCCACTTCATAAAGGTTTCGGGGGTCACAGGGGTACCCTGGAATTTCTTGTTCTCTTCTCTCTCTGCAGCGAGAAGTACCTCCTCGTGCGCCTTTGTGACCTCATCCTTCCTGTCCTGGATGAGCTGCTCAGCAGCCTCCTTCAGTGTAGTCACGAGAGCGAAAACCATGGCCATCCCAAGGTTCTCCTGGATTGTCTCGTCCAAGCCAGAGAGAAGCTTCTCTCTGTCTTCGGAAATATTGAGGTGGGGGTGAGAAGCAGCGTTAGGGGCAGCCTGGATCTCCAGATGAGGTGGCACATCAGGGTATTCTTCTGGATATTTAACAAGGAGATAGAAAGCCGGCGACTCGCCCTCCTCTTCCTCCTCGCCTAAGACATCCAAGGTGATAATCACCTGGAACTCAGTCTCAGATATGTCTATTTGAAGTGGAAATTTTTTAGCATCGTATCGACCAGATCGATTTATTCAGATGAGGCCGAGCAGCAAAATCATTAATCTGGGTTGATTAAGTGTCTCGACCCATGCTATACGTACCATTGATTTCTTCAGGGAAAATAGACTCGAGCACCTCGCGCTCTTCAGTCTGCTCTTCGCGACCCATTTTTAAGAGTGTGTACCTATGTAAACAGGTCTTTTCTTTTTGACAAGCAAGGTTAAGAAGAGCTTTGAGAATGAATGAATGCCTTGCTCCAAAAGGTGGGATAGGCCCCTCGCCAAGTGGTACCTTGGTACAAGCCAGTCTTGTTGCCTGCGGGGCATCCCGCCTTCATTAGGCTTAGCCAAATGTTCACCGCCCGGCAGTTTGATCGAGAAAAATGGGCGCTAATTATTTTTTTTTCCCTTATCGGGGGTCTTGGTCCATCCGTCTTCCCCAATATCTCGACAACATCTGCTGTTCAATTAGCAATGGCAACCAAGACTATGGGAAGCGATAAGAAGCGGAAGGCCTCTTCCTCCAAAGGGAAGCCCGAAAAGGCCACAAAAAAACCTCGAGTCGAAGAGTCCGATGTCTCAATGGAGGCTGAGGATGACCACGAGGACAGCTTCGAGGAATTCTCAGACGAGGAGGAGGGTGGCGTCAAAATTGATTCAAAGGATGGAAAGAAGGGATCTAAGGGCGCATCCAATGGCAAAAACTTCGAACGAGGTCTGTGCCCACCGGATCGGATGTGTCATCCCCTCGCAGTTCGCTAACACACACACAGAGCAGGGTCAGAGTTCTCGCGAGTCGCATGCAAAGCAAAAGCAATTGGCACTGGAGCGCAAGGCCGCCAAGCCGCTTGCTGATGAAGTCCACCGAACCAAGAAGATCTGGGAGAAGTTGCGGATCAAGTCTAGCGTTCCCAAGGATGAGCGCCAGAAGCTAGTTGAGGAACTGTTCACCATCATTACCGGCCGAATGCGAGACTTTGTCCTGAAGCATGATGCTGTCAGAGCTGTTCAGACCGCAATTAAGTATTCGAATGTCGCGCAAAAGAAGGTTATCGCCAAGGAGCTTCAGGGTGCCTATGCCCAACTAGCCGAGAGCCGATACGCGAAGTTCTTGATCGGCAAACTA